CAAGGTAGTCATGGTCCTGTAGCTATATACACTAGATTAGGATGGGTTCTTTCAGGGTCTGTTCCTCACTTTGACGGTTCATATTCCACTAACCTTATTACTCATGTATTAAGGGTAGATTCTGGTCCCACTTTCAGGGAACTTGATAAACATCTTAAGGCCTTTTGGGAGCTTGAGTCTTTAGGCATTAGAGATTCGGAAGACATAGTTCATGAGCAGTTTTGTTCCATTGTCACACTACGAGAAGGCCGCTATGAGGTGTCACTACCATGGAAAGATTCATTCTCTACCATTCCTGATCATTTTGAGCTCTGTTCCAGAAGACTAAACAGCCTCTTACGGAGACTGAGATGAACTCCTGAGATACTTAAGGAGTACCACAGAATCATACAGCAGCAGTTAGAGAATGGTATAGTGGAAGTTGTGGAGAAACCACATGAAGTAACAGATGGTAGAGTACATTATTTACCTCACCACGCAGTAATTAGAAGAGACAAAGAAACCACTAAGGTACGGATAGTGTATGATGCTTCAGCTCGAGATTCTGGACCATCCTTAAACGATATTCTATACACTGGCCCGAAGTTTAACCAGAAGATATTCGATATATTGTTGCGCTTTCGGTGTCATCAGATAGCTCTCACCTCTGACATTGAGAAAGCCTTCTTAATGATATCTATTGCAGAGAAGGATCGTAATGCACTGCGTTTCCTATGGGTAAAGAATCCACTTGAAGAATCATCTGATTACACAGTATTAAGATTTACTAGGGTAGTGTTTGGGGTGTCCTCCAGCCCATTTCTCTTAAATGCTACAGTCCATTACCATCTAACTCTTAATCTTGAATTACAGAAGGCATTAGTTAGCAAGCTCTTAAGGTCATTTTACGTAGATGATGTCATTACCGGAGCTAACACTGTGAAAGAAGCCTTCTCATTGTATACTGAGTCTAAGGAGTTGATGAGAAAAGGAGGATTCAATTTGTGTAAGTTTAACACTAATGATCCTGCCCTCCAAGAGAGAATCTCACTCAATGAAGGAACGTGTACTGCACCAGAGGCAGATGAGACATACACACAGATGGCTCTTAACAAGGTTCAAACTAAGCTTAGAGGTGAAAGGAAAGTATTGGGATTGATTTGGAATGTTGATGATGATGAGATGGTATATGACTTAAGGAATGTGGTAGATACAGTTACTGAAGTAGGACCAACAAAGAGACAAATTGTCAGTTTGACTGGCAGGTTCTTTGATCCCATAGGGGTCCTTGCACCTGTTGTCATCACATTTAAGGTCCTTATTCAAG